GTCTGAAGCAGGCCAAGCCAACCCAAGCCAAGTCCTAAGTTTAGCTGTTACAGTGCAGCGGCTCATGACTTGTTCAATTGGGCGATTCAGAAGCGCTGCTGCTACTTTTGCATTTAGGCAAACTTGGGCACTTATGCCTGAAGAAGGAGAAGGCACCTGTGAGATACTCCATAGCTAGGCTAGACGTAGACCAGGAGGATGGCAGCCATAGCCGCCAAGGTGTAAGCTGCCTGAGCGGGTGTATTTAGGGTAATGCTCCAGGGTAGAGGGAGAGAGAGAGACGAGAGAGAGAGAGGGAGAGCGAGTCATAGAGAGAGAGAAGAGGGGAGAAGCCATAACTCTCATGTGAATGTTCATTGATGTATGCGGGAATTGGCCAATGTTTGGAGGACCATATCGCCAGAAGGGAAACAGCAAGACAATAGCTCTCACTGCAGAATGGCTGGATGGAGGTATAGCAACCGGCCCCGGATTCATAGATATCTAATCAAGAATTTTGGCCAACTCCAGAAATAAGGAGGAAGCAGAATGTGAAAGGAGAGTGCAAGAGGTGGAAGAGAAAATGGAAGGACACACTATCCCTGCGATGTTCTGGGCAGCGGAGAGGGAAAGAAGACTGGCAGAATGGGACAACGTGCAGGCAGACAAACACAAAAGATTGGAGGAGCTTCTAAGATAAAGGGGAAACAAAACTCAAGATAAGATGTCCAAGTCGATCTTCCAGATGTTGCAACCCAGGCAGATGCAGCAGCAAATTGTAGAGCTCAGACAACCGTTTGATGAATCGGCGCCGCTGGCAACTATGAGCATATCCTCTCAACAAGACGTCCGCAGGACAATATCAACACAGATCTGACAGAGAGTTCTGATATGTGGGAGGAAACTCACAGGCACCGCAAGACTACACCTGGACAATCGGCATTAGTTGGAGAAGCCAACGCTTGGGGCGGCGATGGGCCGTTATTCCAGCAGCTGTACGCAGCTGGTCAACTGTGTGAACGACCTCTTGTGGTCATCGACCACCTCGTCGAGGAGGTGGATATCCTCCTGCTGTGCAATGCAAGTAGCCAGGAGGTCCGTAGGATGGGAGAGCAACAGCGAGATCTTGAGTCCATTGCCGCTGACTTCGCCGGTTTCTGCCTCTGCCTACCATTTCGCGGCCAGCATGAGTGAAGTTCTTTCCTCCTCGAATACCTCCTCGCGCCGTATCTTGCATTCCTCATCGGCAGCACTTGCTTCTGCTTCATCATGCTGCCGGTGTTGCTCCTCCACAAGCTGACGTTGTTTCTCTGCCTCCTCCTCCTTTAACTTCTGTGCGGCTGTCACCGCATCTGCCCTTTGCTTGGCTTCGGCCATCAAATTCAGCATCCGCGCCGTGTAGGCCTCAGCTGTTTCCCCTGCCATCCGCTTCATGGTGCTGGTTAGTGAACGTGTGCTCACAGGGATGGGCTACGGGACTGCAGATGTGGCGCTCTCTGCTGCTGAAGTGGCACTGTTTAGCTGCTGATGTGGCACAGCAGTCGGCTGACGTGTCACTGCTGACATGGCCTGCTGATGTGGCCTGCTGACATGGCCTGCTGACATGGCCTGCTGACGAGGAAACTTACCAATGCCGTAACAGTAGAGGGAAGAAGCAGACGACATCTGGAGAGTAGAGGGATGCAGCAGCATAGATGGGGTGGGTGGAGTGATCGCCCAGACAAGGAGCCACTAATCAAAATGAAAAGTTCAAACTTTGAGGTGATTAATAATAATTTCAAAATATATATATCGTCAAATAGAACTGCCCGGTAAACCGTAGGCAGAGAGGGAGAAGAGGACAACAAACGAGGGGCTGTGACAAACTGTTTCGTCGGAGTTTCACCGACTCATCATATATATATATATATATGTGAACCGACAGTCTGTAGAGTTTTCCATCTGGTGTGGGTGAGTTATAGTCTGCTTTGACTTTTGCCACAGGTACCTTGAGGGACCTCAGGGTATCAGTTGTCGGGCATATATATAGTCAAACAGAGATGCCCAGTAAACCGTAGGCAGAGAGGGAGAAGAGGACAACAAACGAGGGGCTGTGGCAAACTGTTTCGTTGGAGTTTCACTGACTCATCAGGAGGCTGAACCCTCAACAGTCTGCAGAATCCCCTAACTGATTACACTGTAAGCGATAATCCACCTTAACTCCGGCTGTGGTTAAGCATCAACGACTGCCTGACAACTGATACCCTGAGGTGGGCACCAACCACTGCCCTCAAGGTACCTGTGGCAAACGTCAAAGCAGACTATCACTCACCCTCACCAGATGGAAAACTCTACAGACTGTCAGTTCACACCCCATCACAAGCAAGCAAAACACCCACGAAACAAAGAAAGGTCTGTCACAGCCAAAAAATACACTCCAGATAAGCCGCTGGCACTAGAGGCACAGCATGGCCGCGTAGTGATGGCCCCGACCACTGCCGCTCGACCTGACCGGAGAATACCATAGCAGGGTGCTAGCGAAGTCGTGGTATATATAGTCAAACAGAGCTGCCCGGTAAACCGTAGGCAGAGAGGGAGAAGAGGACAACAAACGAAGGGCTGTGACAAACTGTTTCGTCGGAGTTTCACCGACTCATCAGGAGGCTGAACCCTCAACAGTCTGCAGAATCCCCTAACCGATTACAATAAGTGATAATCCACCGTAACCCCGGCTGTGGTTGAGCATCAACGACCGCCCGACAACTGACACCCTGAGGTGGGCACCAACCACTTCCCATACCTGTGGCAAAAGTCAGAGCAGACTATCACTCACCCACACCAGATGGAAAACTCTACAGACTGACGGTTCACACCCCATCACAAGCAAGCAAAACACCCGGATAAACGTGTTGATCGTATCTCGATTTGGCTTCTCACGTGTGAACTCTCATATGAATGTTCATTGACGCATGCGAGGTTGAACTTGACGAGTACTTCGCTCATTTCAGCGAGGCCATGCACCCGGATGTGTATCCGAGCACACGTTGGGTGGTCGGGCGCCCAAAAAAACACCCTAGGTAGAAAAATCTGGTACAGACGGTAGGTGGCACCTTGCACAGTGATCTCTCAAGTAACATAGATCATGAGGGTGCATTTTTGGGTTGCACCAGACAGACGTTGGGTACAAGCCCCGCTCATGTTGGCCAGAACAATGTTCATTATATAGCTGAGACAGGCACACGGTAGGTGGCACCATGCAGCATGATCTCTCACGTCACATAGCTCATGAGGTCGCATGTTTGAGTTGCACAACACAGAGGCTGGGTCTGAGCCCCACTCATATTCGCCAGGACAATCTTCATCATATAGCTGAGACAGGCTGCACCGTCACTACCTTTTCCAGGCAACGTCGAAAGTAGAAAAATGTAACATTCCAGGTTGCAAGCTCGGGGCTACTGGAACTAACTGGATTGTGGCACCAGCCAAAAGAAAGAAAAGTGCACCTCATTGCAACTTCAGAAAAACTTGGCACGCAGTTCTTTTCTGCCTTGGCAAAGAGAGGCTCCAAGGTAGTGGTGGCTCAAAGCAGATACCAGGGGTTGACTGACGTGAAGGGTTGGCTTGGTCGAGGGTATGCTAGCCAGACAAAGCGAACATACTTGGCATCCTGTGGTTGAAAACAAAAGAGTCACCAGAACGCTGACTATGGCTGAGACAAGAATACTTTTAGAATGAGACATTGAGAATTGAAAATCAAAAACATAACTTGCAAATCCAAAAGAACCAGCTCAAACATAAACCTAATAACTCGAAACAACTCTGAATTACCTCAGGCCCATCATTTTGACAATCATACCTCAAGGTCACCACTCTTTCCAAAATAACGGAAAGAGGCGCACCCTGGTCTCACATTCAGCATTTTCCTATCAAAATGTGGAGGAAGTGCAAGTAGTTGTTACCAGGTCAACATAACAAACATACGGATACAAATGGTTGAAGCTCTCACTTCAGGCACCAACCAGGTCTTCCATTCCGGCATGCCCAGCCATGCCCTACCTGCCCCATAAAAAACGGGCAACATGTACCTTACGGACTTCGAAAGGTGATCCTCAGCCAAATGCTGTTTGCATTGCAATTCTACACTTCTTTTCCCACTTTCTCACTCGTCCGGAACCAGCGCCGGCCCCCAGGCAAGCTCTGTGGTTATCCGGCTCATACCTCTGTTGAATTGTCCGAAACGATCTTCATCACAAGAACACTGGCAATCCACCTCAGACCTATGCACAAGTAGATTAACCCTTACCTTATCGCCATTCCATCTGATCTTTTTGATTCTGCATTACTGTCTTCCTTCAATTTAACTCTCTCTCTCTCTCTCTCTCTCTCTCTCTCTCTCTCTCACACACACACACACACACACACACACACACACACACATACACACAAACACACACACACACACACACACACACACACACAGATGCCTACACGTTAAAATATTAACACTTCAACACAATAACGGCCACACCATGAGGTTCAAGTGGACCTCTCTGTCCTCCCCCTGTCCAATGATATATCGCATCTCTTTTTTCCAGCTACCTTCTCTATCTTTGACATGCTTCCCCAGAACAACTGATGGGCAATCAGCAAGTTGACATTCCATCAAAGAAGCACATTGCACACCACCCATCATTCCGGCGATTCTCAATGCTCAGAAAGCTTCAAAGACCAGTCTTCAGGCTTGGATCCTGCCCTTAGGAACACAGAATGGCAGGGATTGCGTTTTAGGGATGGACAACTGATGAGGCCTGCGATTGGCATCAGAACAAATAGCAAGTATATTGTGATGCCAGAATAGTCATCAGGAGCAAAAGAGGTGAGTTGTGGCTTTTACCTGATTTCTGGTCCACAGAAATCCCAATAATGACCGGCAGGGCAGAAAGCCAGCACTACCATGCAAACATACCGTTAGGTCCCTTCAGTCAGAGTCTTGTGGAAAATATAAATTATCTGACGAAGCAGACAAGGTTCAGTCATCTCACCTCCCTGAACCTGACAATATTTGGATGTCTAAGCGACCGGTGATTGATGATTTCGCGCTGAACATTTTCATCGATCTGCACCAATACAAACCAGCGTAACAGTGACAGCCATACGTAAGGGTTTCTCTCTCGTGCACACACTTGACTAGAACATACACACACATAAGACCAACAGCAATCTGATTATTCCATACCCTATTTTCAAAATGATTCAAGAACGACCCGAGATGTCAGAAAAGTTATTTGGCCTGATCCAAATATGCCCGCAAGACATTGCCACGCAGCATGACCGTACTAATTGGTAAATAGCCCTCCACTGAGCTGGCTTCCACAGACTCCTTGAGAACTAGTTAGATCATGCAAAGAATTTTGACAGAATCAGACAGCTGTCCCTGACAATGTCTATCACCATGAACAAAGTCTAATTCCCCCCCCCCAAAGCAAACCTATCATAACCCAGATAGAGCAGAGGAAAGAAAGGAAGACACATTGATAAAATGATTGCACACCACCGAACACAACTGCTGTTTGACAAGAAGGAAATACTAGGCACTGCAGCAGAGGAGAAAATTCACGAAAACACTAACAACTGCTTTATCACACAAACTCAAGAGTGCATTAAGTATGTTTGCAAAGCCATGGACTTAAGCCGCCAGTACCCTCGAGCCGCCCCTCCCGAATGTATCTGAGGGCAATGCCCGATGCTGTGGGAAGGCAAGCCGAGGAACCGGAGATCGAGCCCCATTCTAGCGGAAGACTCATTCTCATTTTGCTCATTTGGTGAGTAGTGGATCGCTGTCCTGTGGTGAGTAGTGGATCGCTGTCCTGTTTGTCAGTACAGCGGGGCTGTGGGAAACAGCCTGTCAGAGAGAACAATAAGCCGGCTGTACTGACAAACAGGGTCTCGTTCTCTGCTCACCAAATGAGCAAAATGAGAATGAATCTGCCGCTAGAACATGGGAAGACACAGCCACATTTTTGTCTTTTGTGCATATCGTGGGCCTCTCTCCATGACTCACAACATGCACAAAAGCCCGTATAACACTGTGGTGAATCTTCTCACGTTCTAGGGAAAATTCATTCTGATTTTGCTCGTTTGGTGAGTAGAGCGAGGCCCTGCTATGAGAAGCAAAGATCGTGGGAAGACAGTAAAAGATAGGCCCTGCTATGAGAAGCAAAGATCGTGGGAAGATAGTAAAACATACCCTGCTGTATTTTCTTTTTTCTTACTTGCAGGTCGTGAATAGTGGATTGGAGCCCCAAAGCTGTGCCAACCCTGCGAGGGCACCTCCCCGGCATGCTCGGAGATGAAAAAAAAGGGCAGGGCAAGCCCGGCAAGGTACTGGCGAGTTAAACCACCAGTACTTCCAAGAGTCGTGCCCCTTGACGCGCCACGATTTCAGGAAACGTACGGGCTACTACAGGAGCGCCCAAATTCATCCGACTAGAAACGTTTCTACTCTATTTTTTCCCGTGGCCGATAGCTGGCCCGAGTACTGGTGGTTTAACTACAGGTGCCATGGTGACAAGATGGCATCCTTCAATGGAAGACCACACTGTGATTCATGAGGGCTGTCTTACTGTGTCTCATAAGGGGCACACTGTATATTTGAGAAGTGGCAGATAATTTGCAGCAATTAATATTTAGTATTTAGTATTTACCCTTGTCACACTTAACACAAGAAAGCTAAGCCACAAGTGCAAACTCCCTCCCTCAGAAACTCGTGCCTGTGCATATGGAGACCCTGCTTTTGGTCCGATAAGTACTTCAGTTTAACAAAATGGGCTCAACAGCACTTGTGGTTTAAAAGCATAAAGACTCACATCCAGAGACAAAGGACAAGAGCCCTGAGGTTCACAGAAGGAATGTCGTTTGTGACTGTTCATACCCACGACAAACCCCCCCGAGGTTCACATTAAGGATGTCACACACGACTGTTTATACACCGAGTTGAGTATGAGATCCATCGTCTCATGTTGGGTGGCTTTACTCGGTACAGTCAGTCCTTTGGCTTCACGCACTCGCGGCAAGAGTTTGGCTTCTAAAAGACAAGACCCCCGAGGTTCACAGAACGGATGTTGTTTGTCACTGTTCATACCCACAACGACCCTCTCGAGCCTGGCCGGCGATGCCACGCTCGACGGGGTAGCCCACTCATCCTTTTTGTAAGGGACGCCG